CAGCCGGTGTGTAAGAAAATCGCAAGAAATGCTATGATTCACCTACATGGCTACATATCTCTAAAGTGTTCTCACCAGCTTTGGCCTTCATTAGATGGTGCCATTGTGCTCCCGTGCGATAAGAAATTTGAAAAAACAATCTAATGGGAGAACTGTTTTTATAGAATTATTTTGGGGTATTAGGTGGGATCAGATTAGTTATTGCAGGGGTTTGACTGGGATCGAATAAGATTTCTGTCAAAATTCCCTCATGCCCGTTGTTGGATTCATAACTTTTGATTGTGCTTGCTGCGTTTTTTTGAGTCGAAATGACAGTATGTGTTTCAATATGTGGATTTCTGCGTTTATAGCTGGGCAAAAAATTGCTGGATGCGCAATCAGCTGTTAGAGTTCATGCTTCTTTTTTAGCCAAATTGGCGAATGCAATTGATTTATCTTTTGTTATATGACAAATCTTGCAGATAAGCTCTCCTAAGTTCATATTACAGTACATGGTTATGGTTTACTCTCATAGATATACGTCACATTAATGTTGCATGCCTGTCTGTCTGGTTTGGAGTCGCAATTTCCTAATTAAGGTTGATATAATATTAGATTCCATTTACGTACACAGTCTATTTCTATTGCACATTAAAGTACGGAGTAATACAGAGTACTGTGATTCTGATGTGTAGAAGTACAGTATGTAAAATAAATTGTTCTCCACAATGGCAACAGCTATTTGGAAATTCAAAGGGTTTTAATGGTGTAGCCATGGTAGTAGCGAAAGCGGAAAAAAGTTGGATCAATAGCTCATGATACCATATTAGAGTTTGAATACAAAATGTATTCAAACTCTAATTGAGCTGCTAGGGTTTGTTTGGCATAGTGTGGTTTTATGTTTTTTTGGTTTTTGTATTTCAGAATCATATTATATGTCATTATGAATCTAAAATTAGTCAAAATTATTAATACCATGATAATTTTGAAAACTGACAACAGAAAAGTGGATGCACCTTTTTCTTGTTTTTAGTTTTCTGTTTTTTTTTTTACCAAACAAGCCCTTAGTGACCATCATTACAATCATACCAATCTGTAATTTGTCAAGTCTCCTATGGTCGTGTGGATGAGTACTTGGACTCCATTGATGTATAACAATCACAGAGACAATAAAGGGCTATAAGGCGATGGAGTTTCTCTCTTATCTACCCCTAACTAATGTGTTAGTTATTCTTAAAAAAAAAAAAAAAAAAAAAAAAAACCTAATGTGTTAGTTAAAAACGATTGTGCTCTGCTGTCCCAAAAATGAAATTAGTCATATAAATTTTTTTCTGAAGGAGCAATTCTCACAATTTCTCGAACTTTATCTCTGAACAAAATTACCATGTTTTCAACTAAAAATTCTTAGCTTGACCATTACTCTTAACAATTAAACATTCCGTGTTTCTAACTTCTTGTAAAAGTAAGAAGACTTTAGAAATCAACGTGAAAAAATACTTTTAATAATCTAAAAATTAAACCAAGCGATTATTAATTGTACCACCTTTTTTTTTGGTTACTTGTTGCACTTGATATTTTAAGTCATGAACCAAGCGACCAACCGACTATTCATCGAATTGAGCTTTTCTTCAAAAAAGGCAATGAAAGTTAATTGATATCACCAACTTGGCCCCACACGTGCCGACACTTGGGCAATTGGACCCTAATTTTTGAAGGATGCCATCTAATTAAGTTAATTGGCCAGTTGCGTTTTGTTCTTTCCTTTTATGGGATGTAAGTTGAATAGATTTTTTTAGGGTAACCTACTAATTACTCCTAAATTACCAAATTAATTCCGACTACGTATATCCAAGGGAAAGATTACACAATTAGCGAGTAGAGATTTACGAGTAAGTTATAATTCTATTAATCAATTGAATAATCCAACTTGAGTTGCGCTAGTATTAGTGCATATCTCTAATGAGTAATCTACCACATCGAGGCGAAAGTATTCGGTAATTTCCTTAAATCGCTCATTATTTTATACGAAGTAGGAAAGTATATATATTTAATAATTTTATTTAGACAAGAAGAATCATAAGCTTAAAGTATAAATATAAACAGCTAAGAACCCAAACTCATAATTCTGTACTATCGCCGTCATAACTAATTTTTTCTCCTTTCTCTCTCCTCCATGGGTTCACCTTCTCAAGCTTCTCTCCTCCTCCAAAAGCAGCTTAAAGGTATCAATTAATTCGATCAAATAAAATCTAATTTTTTCAATTATTCTGTTGAATTTGTATTTTTCTGAATATTTATGCGATTTTATTTTTGTTTGGTGATTTTTCAGATCTTTGCAAACATCCAGTTGATGGGTTTTCAGCAGGTTTATTAGAGGAAAACAATTTGTTTGAATGGAGTGTCACTATTATCGGTCCTCCTGATACCATGTAGTAAGATTTTTACTCTTATTGATTTTAATTTATTTTCTGAATTGATTTTGTTGAATTTTATTTTCTGGTTTCATGTATGATTTTTGTTGATTACTATTTATGAGTATTGGGGATTTTTAAGCGATTACCTTTTCCCACCTACCAAAAAAAAAAAACAAAAAAAAAAACCGTAAAATAGAATTGTGTTAGAATATAATTTTGCCTTCAATTTCACTCAATGTTTAATTGGGAGATTTATGATTGTTATACCAAATTGGCTGCTAGTATTGTTCATATGTAAAATTAATATGCACTGATATTGTGATTTTAGGATTTTTTTTTTTATTTATTTATTTATTTATTTTTTATAACCTGATTTTAGGTTATTTATTGAATTCCGTCTTTCCTGTGTAACATATTTGATATTATATGCAGTGAATTATCAAATACTTTGTATTAGCATGTTCATGCTGAGAAATAATAGTTAATAACATTGTCAAAACTTGTATTGTATACAGTGAAGGAGGATTTTTCAATGCCATAATGAAATTTCCGAAGAATTATCCCAACAGCCCGCCATCAGTAACGTTTACATCCGAAATGTGGCATCCCAATGGTAAAATTCAATTATAATCTACTTTATATGATCTTAAGAAAGATGACAGCTTTAATCGGATGTCTTGAATTTTTGCAATTAGTTCAAACTCTACTTGAATCATAGCTTTAGAAAAGCTTGTTGCTAATGGCATAATCCAAGTATAAACTCTTTGATCTTAAGAAAGATGACAAATTTTATTAGACGCTGTGAATTTGCAATAAGTTTGAACTCTTCTTGATTCATTGCTTTTAGAAAAGCTTCTTGCTAATGATATTTTTTTTGCTTGAATATAACAGTTTATAGTGATGGAAAAGTTTGCATATCGATACTTCATCCTCCTGGTGATGACCCAAATGGATATGAGCTTTCAAGTGAACGATGGACTCCTGTCCATACGGTATTATCCTGCCTTTTTACGTTTTCTGTTGCATAGTTTTAGGCAAGTTATTTAGAATCTAAATCTCATGTAGAAGGATTCAACTGTATAATGTTTCAATCTGCAAGTAATTCTTATTCTTATAAGTGTCCTGAATTAAGCTATTAGGAATTTAGGATTCAACTTTATAAATTTTAATCTGCAAGTAATTCTTATTCTTATAAGTTGTGTATGTGGTTTGTCCTGTGTCAAGTTACAAGGGTTCAACTTTATAATGTTTCACTTTGCAAGTTCGTTCATTAATGGTGAAAGTAATTTGTAAGCAAATTTAGCATCACCAAGTTGATTTCAAATCCAATCTTCTAAATGTATGCATATGCATCTGTACATTAATTATACAAGATTTGCCCCCTTCATTTTTTTTGTGTACAAAGCATTTCATGCAAAAGAATTTCTCAATTGCCTGTAAGGATCAGTTAATTTGGCTTCGTGTGAGGAAGTCCACCTAGGTTTTTCACTCTTTGAGAACAAAAGAAAAAAGAAATTCTTTGATATCATACTTTTATTGGATTATGTATTGCTGATACTTCATATGCTTTCTTTAACAGGTTGAAAGTATACTTCTTAGTATCATATCGATGCTTGCTAGTCCTAACGATGAATCTCCAGCCAATGTTGAAGCTGCGGTAAATCCTACTGCCTTTTTCTGTTAGTTATAGTAGTATGGCTTGTTTAAGTGAAATTTCCCTACTGCAAGGCTTTGCTGATTAAGTTTCGCCTGTATTGTAATCTATGATGACTATCTCTCTGGACCAATTATCAAACTCTTAATTTAATTAACACTGGTATTTCTTTGATCTAATTGATTTTTGCGAATTTGATGCTGCATTACATTTTTGATATTAATGGGAACACAGCTCAATGCAAGCAGCTAAATGTAATCTTGTTATATATACTTGCAGAAGCAATGGAGGGACGATAGAAATGGTTTCAGGAAAAGGGTCAGCCGTTGCATAAGGCTGTCTCAAGAGATGTTATGATCCTCCGATCCACCAAAGATCAACTGAAAAATCACATTTATTTTCTGTCCTGTTTTTCTTATCTCTTATATATCTATTCTTTGTTCTGAAGCGTAGGTGTTTGCTTTCCCAGTACAAACAAGGGATGATTCTTTCTCATTATAGTTTATTTATAGCCCTTTTACTTGTATTTATGAATACATTGCATATCGAATTAATGATATCAGGTTCTCATTCTAATTGTTAGTTTCATAATTGTTGCTTTTAGTTTCCACTCAAACAAGATCTTCTTTCCAATTCTTATCTTTCTTGGTGTTTCTGCTTGACGATTTAACCATTAGGGTAGGGTTGTGCTCAGATCTCCAGACAAATAGAGGCTTCCGTCGTGGTACTGTATGTCTGTAGTGGTCGATACATTATTATGAAGTTCTCTCGTGGATATCTCTGAGCAAAACCAAAACTAATGAATTACTCTACCCATTGGCAATCACCTTTATAAAAAGTCAAATGTGTTTGGGTTGTATGTGGTCGGATTCTTCTTTGATGTGTACCCTGTATGTATTCCACATAAGAAGGGCCATCAAAAAAAGTTACAGATCTTCATAGTAAATAGGCGATGAAGTAACGTAGTTCATAATAGTTTGCAATAACATCAAGATCATCCAAACAGACTATTGCCTATGCAATCATAAAGTTTACATGAGAGGCATCATCTTCGTTATTTCTTATATGTTGATATCAACTACAAACGAAGTCTATATAAACAGAGCCTTTATTTATAGAAGTATAATATAGTTCAAGGTCTACTCTTGAACATGGCTCTGGACTTAATAACAGCATACAGTTACCCCTGTAGACATATAATCCATCAACAAGATTAAACATTCTAGCCAGTCATCCATTGAGGAACATAGCACCAAGTTTAACCTTTTTGCCATCACCATTAAGCTCTGCAATGGACTTGCATCTTGTGGGCACGTCTTCATAAACACTCATGTTGCCCGATGCTTCCAGTTTTCTTTCTATTTCATACCAATCTATGACGTTATAATTTTCTTTTGCCCCATTTTCTACGTATACCTACAAACAATCCATAGAAAATCGCATTAAAGCATCAAATTCAGTTCAATCATACGTATTGCCTCGCTCCACTGGCTTAAAATATATGAACTGCAATCTAAATGTGATATACTTCGCAAATCAACTGCAATCTTCATGTGAAATTCTCTGAAATGGCTCATAGATGCCTTTCATGCCTCATTATTAACAAAGATTTGATAAAATCTTGGGGAGATTACCAAAACCTCAAATTGAATCCCGTCAACATCACTATCCTTTGTGACTTTATTAATCTCGACATTACCTTTACACATCTTTAGAGACTCCTCTCTATGACAATTAGCCTATATTAGTACGTTTTAGCTTAATTCAGAGCATGGAAATTAAAAACATACTCCGTACCTTGTTAGGCTCATCGCCGAAGGGTACATACCAAGCCAAGAGCCATGCACAATTGACACTAGCATACACCACAGCAGCCTTGGAGCCTTTTGAAGGAGCTCCATAGTGTACAAACTTCGCCGTCCCTCCTATAGGAATTTCTGTCGGAAACTCGGCTCGAAAACTTACTTGGCCACTCCAATCATGTTTATTATGAATATGTAACCGGCTTCCCTTGGTTATGTTCAGTATGCAGCCAGCAATTTGTAGTTGCATTTTCTCAACATTAGGATTGTTTGAGAGTAGAATTTTCTCTGCCTCTTTCATCATCTGCTCCACAACTGTTGTGTCTTCATTTTGCAGTATTGATGTTGAAGCTGGTAGCTGTTGAGAGGAAGCCATATTACCCTAGCTAGTCTGTATGATCATTGAAATAATTAATCATCATATATCATGAAAAAAGAAAATTAGTATCCCTTGCTTATAAACTTCAAATATCATGCATGAAATCGAAGTTTAAGTTGAAATCTATAATATTGTTGAGAGAGATCGAGGAGGAAAATACTTGAGTACATACGTTTAGATGTTGTGATTGACTGCTACAGACCTCCCTAGTAATAACGTGTTTTTCTTATTTCTTCGAGATTATTAGATAAAACTGGAACGATATAGGAAAACAATGCGTATTGTAAACGCAATATGACAATATACAAGAAAGTGACACAAGAATATTGCAATCGAATTCAAAAGTTTTAGGTTCTTGTCATAGCATAAGAATGTTTTCATAGATAAAAGTGACACTACCTACCAAGTGCAATAAAGAGAAGGTACCAAAAATTGGGCATAAAGTGGTGAAATGCATCTGTAATTCTGTTTCAAAGATGCATCAGTGAACTACTACTCTTGGCTGTTACTAGTTATACTGATTCTCCTGTCTATTTGTATTGCAGGTCCGATTTATATGATCGACATAGGGAATAATATAATACCTATAATTTCCTTTTCCTTCTTTTGATAAATGGAATCTGTAATTTTCAAGAATAGCCATCCTTTGCATACACCAAATTGCTATTCTAAATTCATGAGCACATTTAAACCCTATTTCTATGTACACTAGCCAAAGATGTTTAATAATTTGCTAGTTTGCTTAGTTCAGATTTAACAACAAACCAAAACCAAAACACCCCCTTGTTAGCAGTCCTATCGGGCCAGAATCTCTCGCAGGTCCTCCCGACCGGGGTTAGGGGGCTAAACACTTTGAATATGGGGGGAAGGATAAGGGAATTCCCACCCAAAGTGTCTCTAATGGGGTTTGATCCCACAACCTTTTGGTTGTGAGATGCAAACTTGACCATTAGACCAAGCTATGATTGGTAAATATGGTGATATGGGCCCCCCTTCAACAGTATTTGGAAATATATAAAAGCCCACTCCAAGAATATATTATGTGTGAATGTAAATAATTATCATGTATTAATGTGTACTAATTTATTACGTGTATATCATTTTAAAAAACATGTCCCCATTGGCCATTTCATATAAAGGGATCATAATAAAGGTATATATTTTGGTAACAGCAAATCAATCAAGTTAAAATTGTTGGTGAAAAAATAAATTATCAGCGAGCCCTTTAAAATGGAGGAGTATATCAACCATCAAAGTGAAAGGAATATGTACCTACGACTCTTACAAATTTATAAATTATATTACTCTGAAAGAGAATATGTACCATGTCTACCATTAGTCCATTAATTACCATTATATAAGGATTAAGGACAAAAGAAGTGCATACATATACATTTATTTTCTAGTTATTTTTTAGCTATTACATAAATTTTTTGCGGTTTACCATACCGTTACATAAACTAACATCATATGTGTCATCTATCTAATGTTTCGGGTGAGTGACATTTATTTCCTCAAGGTGGTAAATTCTTGCAGTTTACCGTACCGCTACATAAACTAACACTATACATGCCATCTATCTAATGCTTCTGGGGAGTGACATTGCTGCCAAGCCTAACAACCATGCCATCGATATCACGAACGTATCCAACCTTCTGGTTCCATTCCTTTTGTTCAGGTGGACTCACTGCTTCTGCACCATTCTCCAAAGCCCTCTGTTCAAAACATGGGACATATAATGTGTTGAAAAAAATATATCTACTTGTCTTAGGAGAAAACCAAAGGAAACATTCATCAATTGAGATGCATCATTAGGAGGATAGTAATCTATATATACCTTGTAAGCAGCATCCACATCGGCGTAATCGAAGCACACCTCGATTGGACCTCGTTCACGTTTGGATTGAAATGTATGGACCTCACCTGTGACTTCATCGGTCTCATGTTGATGAATTGGGGTGAATGCTATTGTGGTCTGTCCACTCTCCAACTCTCCCCATCTACACACACCACAATCAATCAAATTACCGGTTAAAATATGGCGATCTATTGAAAACACGGAAAGTAATTTAACAATTGTATTTTCTACAGAGTAATATGAACCGAATATTCATTACAATTCATTAGTTTTAAATTCTATTATTGTAGATGTTGCATGATTTTCCATACCATTGATAAATTAGTATTATTATTTTTCTTACTATAACAATTTAATAATGGTTTTTATATATACCACGTGCCCATGTACAACATGTGATACTCCATGAAACATATTGGTAGAGATTTATTCCAATGCTCAATTGCAAAATTACCATTGCTAGACCAAACAATTATTCGTGGTAGGATATAATCGGGAACATTTGCTTGGTAGTACGTATTAAAATTTGTCTAGACAAAATCTTCACCCATAACATAATAAACAACATACTCCGTATTTATCATTCGTAACAATTATATACTAACACGTTTATAATAAGTTAATAACATGATTCTCAACAGTCATGACATATTTTTTTATTTGTTGGTAAGAAGAAGGGTCTTATCGGGCCGAAACCTCTCACAGATCCTTCCAACCCGGATTAGCGGACTAGACATTTTATAAGTGGGGAGAAAGGATAAAAGAATCTCAACGTACCGTCAACATATATATATAGTCCATGACATAATTAAAATTTAATTTGTAAAAGGTATAAATCTCACTTATTTACTTGATTATTAGCGATGATTTTACCTGCGAGAATTGTCTAAACGGCGAACGTTGATGCCAAAAGCTTTGGAATAAAATGCAACGGCCTTTTCAACGTCTTTCACATACAAAACTGTATACGCATACGCTGGGTTCAACTTTGAAGCCATTTTTTTGTTTTTTTTTTTTTCCAAGTTCAAGTTTATGAAATATTATGAAGGATCCAATTTTTTTGTATTTCTCTGATTGTAATTTCATCAGCTTTTAACTTTGTTTTTGCCATGCATGCATATTTTTGCATCTATCCTCAATTTCAACACGTGTTAGGTGCATGAGCAAGGTGTGAGAGCTATGGAGATGACACCCGTTTGCATGCACGAGATAATCTAATTTTGTTTTTATTTATTTCTTATTTTGGATAGGACTAAAATTGTAGATTTCAGATACTATAATAAAACAATATATAAAATATCGATTTATTTGTTAATTAACAGATGTTGGCTCGGAATGTTATAAATTAATCATTCTGTATATGGTTGAATTAATATAACACTTTCTAGCTACATTTGTAAGGTTCTAGTTGATAAAATTTTAATGGTAAAAGTTTCATACTCCATATATTCATATGAAGTCGTATTCTATGCATGTATCGTTATCTTTTGTGATACTATTTACACTTAAATAATTAAATTACGTTATAAATATCAACTTTCCTAGCTTATCGATAATATTTTTCACAAATACAGAAACACTTATGCTTCGTAGTAATCACTATTTCCCTGGAGATTGAGTAATTTGGTTATTAATTAATAGGGCAAAAAAGGGTCACGAATTACTCCTGAAAACGAAATAAATTACGCATAGGACAGCTAGATTGTCGTTACACCTAATTTCTCGGCTAATTATGATGCACTCCGTTATATTATAATAAAAAAAGAACCTATTATGTACAAAATTCGCATACGAGAAAAAGGAATCTATGCAATATACTTTAACTTTACTCGTATAAAATGTGTGTAAATTTAGAGTGTACAATATCAGTGAGTCTCTTAAAAAGAAGTATACTTTTAAGTACTATATAAATTTAAATCGATCTATGATTTATCGAATACAGGACTTCAGTCTTAACCATTAGGTTAAGATTTTATGGTATATATCTTAATGAAAAACTTCAAAGTATAGTGAAGTCTAGTAAATTTTAAATTTCATGATATTTATAACCCCTTTATACCCAATAACCATGCATAGGCAGTTAGGCACTAACTCATTATGCATGGTTAGTAACTTATTGTTACATATACTCTCTAAATACTTCATTCGTTTCTTTATAGTTACAACACTTCTCTAAAATGAAAATGGGGAGATTTTCAACGGCGACCCCAACTTCTGCTACGCACCAACGGTAACCCTCTTTTTTTTGGATTATACAAAATGACACTATTTTTCTTTTTTCTCCTAAAGATGACATTAATGATGGTGTTTTAACATAAAATTAAACTATGGTTAACCAAAATAGTGAAATGACATAAATGCCCCCCCCTTTTTTTTATCACCAACCCAACTAGCCCCAACACCAGTCCACTACCACCACCTCTATCTCCACCCCCTTAACTGCCAGCGCCTAGTGTTTCGGGGTTTTCTGATGTCCTGCGGGAGAGTTACAATTCCGAGACTGGAACCGGACGCCTGTACCTGCAAAATAACGGAGACTCCTGAGAGCTCCGCCTCCAACGGTCAAGTTAGTACCTGATTAAGGAGTAATTAATACAGAAATTAAGGTAACAAGATCTCTCTAGGTGAGAGTATTTAATGTAGGTAATCTGCTTTGCTAGCGAGATCAGCCGGTTATTAGTGTGTTCCGTAATGTATTCGGTCCCTTGATTAATGAGGATTAATCGAGTATTTATAGCCTTGGGAAGCGTGCAACTCTCTAGGTTTAAGGTAAACCTAGGGCCGATCGGGCTTCTAGACTGAAATGGGCCTTGATGGCCGGTTGTCCCATTTGGCATGGGTGGACACGTGGCGTGTCTTAAGTGGTCCATGGAGGACGCGTGGCGGAACCTGGTTGGTCCACTTGTCAAACGGTGCTTGGTGGATAAAAATCCCCTAATCATTTGCCCCTCACAGGTGGCACGCGACTGGTCACGTGTCGCCTGTGACAGGCGTCGCACGGTGACAGGCGACGGCCCGTTACAGGTGTCACCTTGCAGACGGCCGGGAGATTCTCCCGCCCAAATTTGAATTCGGAAGCGACCCTTCGCCTTCTCATTTTGCCTATAAAAGGAAGTGCTGACTTCGGTCATTTTCACATTTGAGAATTTTTGCGAGAACATTCGGACCCCTGAACTTGCTCTGACATTTTCGGACTTTTTCTGCCTACCGCCTGTTCTGACAAGCCGACTGACCCGAACTTTCAGGACTTCATCAACTGTCATCCATTCAGGTAACTCAGTTCTCTTACTCTTAATTTTCTTTTTATTTTTTGAAATGGCACCATGGAAGCACACGACACGCCCTAAGTTAGTGATCAGCCGGTCACCGGGGACGGCTGAATCTAGGACTAGGAGTGCCGCCTGCCCTTTTCTGGACCCATCTTTGCCCTTTATACAAAGTCCGACTGAATCTGTGTCTATGCAGAACGTGATGGCCAGAACAAAAAAGACTGCTAGAATATCAAACTCAGACGGCTCCTCCCAAAGGGTACTCCTTAGCGAAACATCTGACCAGGCGCCAGATGTGGAACGAGGCGACTGTCAAGCTGACAGTTCTGAGAGAGGGACCAAGGTGTTCCCTTCTCATCTAACCGTGGACATGTCCCATTTACCTTCTGCTCCTTCTAAGGGAGAGGAGGCGGGCCCCTCTAGGAGAGGGGAGGAGTCGTCCTCTTCGGACTCGTCAGGGGACGAGTCCGATTCCAGCTCTTCTGACCATAGTTCTTCTGACTCAGAAGAAAAACATAACCGCCTACAAGAGGCGAGAAGTTCCCATGCAGTGGAGAAGGGGGATAATTGGGCAGAGCCGTCCGCCTCTTACAGAGAGGAAAACACCCCCTACTACTGCAGGGTGCCCCGGGGCCGGATCGCAACCATGCGAGACAACGTGGCTAGCTTTATTGCTAACCACAAAATGGGCCCGGAGTATTTACTGTTTGTGCCGGATCCAGAAGATACTGTCGTCTGGCCGGCTGGTACCAGCTATGGTGACGGCTGTTTTGGCTGCTATGTGGCGGCCATCAAAGCTGGTCTGCGCTTCCCATTACATCCGGCTGTTCAGCGGATTTTAGATGGGTATGATCTGGGGTTATGGCAGTTAGCCCCCAACTCTTGGGTAAACGTACTCGGCTATGTGGCCGGGTGCGAACTGAACGGGGTGGAGCCAAGTTTTGAGGCTTTCGCCCACATGAACTATCTCAGCCGGACCCCTAAGTCGGGAGGTACCGGCTGGTATCAACTAACAAGCCACAGGGGTTACCTCATGACGAGAGGTAAGGCAAACAAATGGAAGGATTGGCGGAACACCTTCCTTATTATCGAGAGTTCAGACACGGAGCTGAACAAACGATTTAACAAGTGGAACAGGGATCCGCCTCTTCTTGCAGGCGGCCGCAGCATGCCGCCTGTTCCCCCAAAGGCTAAAAGAGAGATCCTAGACAAAGGACTCTTCAAAGTAGAGACTAGGGTGAACTCTACTTCAGGGGTACGAGAGCAAGTACCCCTACACTGCGTCCCGAGCTTCAAGTGGCTCTATGATGAGTACTTCTTGGCCGCCTGTGGCCTCGGCAGTCGGTGCTCTAGAGGTAGCCGGCCTGACGAATACTCTGTTTTCTCACGCCTTGTTTACTTGGGATTTTTACTAACTTTGCTGTTTATTTCTTTCAGCCGACGCCATGAGTAAAATAACAGCATCTAAGACTGCGGCGGCCATGCTGCGGGTTTCGCTAATGAAGCAGTCGTACGCCGACTCCCCCAGCAAGGAGGCACCCTTGGTAAGCTTTGAAAACTCTTCCCCTTTAAGTTGTATTATGCATATACTAACTCTTTTTGTTTTCAGTCTGGCACTCCAAGGGCTTCTTCCTCGCAACAGCCGGACCCCAAGGCCCGGAGGACGACTGTTGCAAGCTCTCCTGGGTCTTCCAGGAAAACAGTGGCGGCTGAGAAGCAGCCGGCCACTTCTTCAAAAACCCAAGCGGGGCCGCCTAGATGTATGGACCCTTGCTTGTAAAAACTCACTCTTGCTTCCTTCTTGATTAGGTCTAACTTGTTTTTCCTTCTGCTTAATGCAGCCGGCCCCCAGGGACTTGACTTGGTTGAGGTAGCCAAGTCAATGGTTAAAGTAGTTCCTCCCTCTGACCGGGAGGCGGTCAAGGGTGCCGGCACCCTTGACCTCGATGGAATTTCGGGGATCCTAGCTGAGGTATACCCTTTTGAAGTTCCAGGACGCCTGTTAACCCTTTTGATTGGAAACTGACGCCTGTTTTTCTTTGTACTTAGGCCCTGCTCCGAGTCAACAGCCTTCGCAAGCCGATTGATCGGAAAAACAAAGAGGTAAAGGCCGCAAAGGCTATGGCCGCCTCCAGCTGTGATAAAGCAATGTTTCAAATTGCCCAAAATGAAGTACTGACCATTGATCTTCTTTATTATCAGGCGCAGGCGACCGCCGCTGTTCGGGCTCAGCTAGAGGCGGCCCAAAAGAAGGTTGACGAGCTGGAGGGGACCGTCACCAAACTTAAAGCCGAGCTGAAGCCCCTTCGTCAGAAAATGCACTCTTACGAAGCCATGGAGAAATCTTTGGCTAACGTAAAAGAACGCCTGGTGAACCAGGAGAAGAGTCTTACCCAAGAGCTCTCGGACAAGGCCGAGCAAGAAAAACAAGAGCTCGTCCGGGAGATGGTGGAAGACTCCGCCCAAATCCAACGCATGACCTGGGAACGACTGTTCCCCAGTGCCGACTTTGCCTCATGGGAAAGAACGTACCGCCAGTGTTCGGAAATATATAATCAACAGATCCTGGCGGCTGCTGAAGAAGAGGCGATGGACGTTGCGTTGGAGGAGGAAGAGCCGGTTGTGGCGCTTGTGCCACTTGGGGGAAAGGCATCAAAAGATGATGCAGCGAAGGCCGAGTCCAGCAAGAAGAGTGCTGACCAGGCGGCTGCTGCTGATACTGAACTGCCCCCTTCTTAAGCTTTAAGTATATTTTTTCTTTTCACGGCCTGCGTGCCGTTTGCTTTGTAATTACCCGGCCAGGGGGCCGGGGTTTTGAATATTC